AGAAATGGTGTAAGTTTAAAGACTAAGGTGCATCTGATTCAAGCCATGGTCTTTTCAATTACTTGCTATGCTTGAAAGTTGGGCAATGAATAAGGATGTGGAGTTTATCTTTCAATATGACTTTTCCTAGTCATATTTGACTGAGCTATGTAGATGGGTGGGAATATGTGAATGGGGCCTGTCAGCCTATCCACAAGGAGATTTGCTATCTACTATTCCATAAGGGGATTTTCAGTCTTGACATCTTGTAAGGGGGTTGGCTAGTCTCACCATTGAATTGAGCAAGACAGCAGAAAGAGACAGACAGATCTTCCCCTGCCATTGAAGAATTAGCAAAAGAATGCTGGGCACCCTTCTCGTACCTGCTTCACCTATGTAGCAACAGCCATATTTCTGGACAGTTGATCTGAGATGGACCTTGTGGGGATAGCCAATATTGGCACTGAGAATTTTGTTGGTCAGCTAGGGGTGGGAAGCTGATATTAGCAGGACTGAAGACTTGGGAATACTGACCTAAAGCTGCAAGGCTCAAAGCTGAGGTATCTGTGCACATTTCAGGAGCTGTCTTGTAACCTGGATTGTTGTTATGTGCCATCAGGATGTCTGTGACTTATGGTGATTCTATGTACAAGAGCTCTGAAGCCTGCCCTATCCTGAGCCAGTCTCACTGACTCTTGACACATATACCCCCTATTGCCTGGTAATATGGTTCTGTGTAGTCTTTGACAAGTGCATCAGATTTTTGAACTCAGCAAAGCAGTAAGATTGGTGAGATGAGTAAAAAGAGGTATGGGAGTGTGCAGGATATATCTCACCTAATGGGAATTGGTTTTATGTTACTGGTGGTGTTGACAAAGACAGTTCCTCTTTATGAAGTTGTAAAGGTCAGGCATGGCTGTCCCCACATGGCCCTAGCTCTTTTTACAAAGGATGACAAAATAATCAAGGTCTTTGTGTTGTGGTTTTTGAGAGGAGTATTTCCATGGACTGATGAGAACAAACAAGTCTGTCTTAGAGAAAGTACAATCAGGCTGTCCCTAAGAGGTGAAGATGATGAAGCTTTGTCCCATATACTTTTGGGATGCTATTAGGAGGGCCCAGTCCTTGGAAAACTGCATCATGCTTGGAAAAGTGGAGGGTCAGCAAGAGAGAGGAAGACTCTCAGGGAGGTGCAGTGACTGTAACCATAACCTTAAGTATATCAGAAATGATGGAAGATGGCACAGGATAGGACAAGCTTTGGATCTCTTGTTCATAGGATCATTATGAGTCTCTTAAATTGACAGAACCTAACAACAACATGTAACCTTAAGAATTTCTCATAGGAATTGTACTGCTAATCCAAAGATGTTCAAATCTGCCCACCACTCTGCAGGAGAAAGATGGGCAATCTCTTCCAGTGTGATTATAGCCTCAGAAAACTCACTATAAGACTATCTGTGAGTAGATTTTTACTTAAGGGCAATGAGTTTGAGTTTTTAGTTTTTAAATGAGACTGTCAAGAGCCCTCCACCTTTCCAAGTATGATGACCGTTTCCAAGGACTGGCCCCTTCTATCAGCATACCCAAAGTATGTGAGATGATGAGAGGCTGTAAATTTAAGATTTGACTCTAACTACAGTATATTACCACTATACTTCTTCTGTACTTCATACAGGACAGAAATTGTCCTTGAATATATTGTTGTGTGCTGTGGAGTCAGAACAGACTCATAGATGGATGACAGTGAGTCTTCCCAAGCTGTAAAACCCATTGGATTGCCCATCTTTCTGCCAAAGGGTAGCAGATAGATCTGAACTGCTTACCTTTGGGTTGGCAGCACAACTCCTTACTCACTAGGTCATCAGAGCTTCTTATCCTATAAGAGTAGTGTAATAAAAAGTGTCGTGTTTCTTGAATATTGACTTACATATTAAAGATACATATTGCCCAAATCTTTATATTTTTCATTCAAGCAAGAACTGAACCCTAGGAATAATATGTATTGCTGCTCTGCCTCACTCTGTCTCCTTTAGATTGAAAAATCCTGGGGCATAGTCTTGGTAATGTAGTGGTTAAGCAATTGGCTGCTAACCTGAAGGTTGGCAATTCAATACAACCAGCTGCTCCACAGAAAGAAATTGTGACAGGCCCCTTCCATAAAGAACTATAGCTTTGGGACCCCTATGGAGCGGTTCTGTTCTGTTCTGTCCCACAGCCGCATGTATGTGTCAGAAGCACCTCCAGGGAAGTAGATTAGGGCAAATTAACTCTCCTCTCACCTGCTGTCTTACATTGCGTTCTGTGGAGATGCAAAACCAATAAAGCAAAAATCAGTGGAGAGGCAGAGAGATAATTACCCAAAGGAAAAGACCCATGGTGATACAGGCTGGCAAGGCCCAGCTTCATGGCATATAGCTCAGGAGGCTGAAGAAACTACAGTCAGCCAAGTTAATAGCAAATCCCATCAAAGGAATGATTATACTACATCAAACCTCATCAAGGAAACAATCACATCACAATTGCCAAAGCAGAGAATCACAGGCAGCTAAGATGACAGGCAACCTTAACCATCACACTTATTTCTAACTAGACACAAAGCTCTGTTCATTCTATCATCTAAATACTGCTCAGGGAGCTCTGTTGGCCTAATGGTAAGGATTGCAATGCCAGTCCAAAGACAGGTGATTCTAATCCGTGATTTGCTCAAGAGAAAGGTGGGCAAAGTTTTCCTATCTGATTGACAGCCTCTGAAAATTGCTGGAGGGTCAGCTATGAGTCCGTTCTGTCTTGACGGCACGTAACAACAGAAATTATTGCTCACTTCTACCTCTCAAAAAAGCACCATAAATCATCACAGCAGTAAGTGCTGGGCATATAGGTAAAAGCCAAACAGACTAGATTCTCAACCTCACAGAACTTACTTATAGACCACAGTGAGATGCAGAAAATAGCTAACAATAACAACAACAGAATTATATGAATGGTGTTTATGGTTGACAAAGGCAAACTAGCAAGGCATCATCATCAAGTATGGGGTGTGTGTGTGTGTGTGTGTGATCGTGGTGTCCATAAGGAAGCCTCCCTTCAAGGGCTGGCTTTCATGTGGGTGTAGGGAGACAAGAGAATGAGGTGGGGATGACAGAAGGGTGGTTGGAAATTTCTAGGCGCCATCAAGCTGACTCCAACTCATCGCAACTTTATGTACAACAGATCAAAGCTGCCTGATACTGCACCATCCTCACACTCTCTGTTGCTGTCACTGGGTCAAATTATCTTCTCTCCCCCACTGCCTTTCCAAACAAGATGTCCCCTTACTAGGACTGTTACACACACACCCTCCTCCAATAACATGCCCAAAGCATGTGACGTTTTACCATCCCTGCCTCTAAGGTGCGCAGTGGTTGCATGTCCAAGATAGATTTGTTTTGGGGAGTCCATGGCTTATTCAGGGAACAGCATATACGCTAAGACAAGTAAGTCACAAAAGACCAGTGTGACTGGACAAAACAAATAATTGGCTTCAACTGAGACTAAAAAACAAGTAATGTCAAAGGATATGGTACCATCTAGGAAACAGCAAAGATTGAGGAATTTTTTCCCTTAAACTTGGAAGGAGGAGTGACATCCATTTCCGTAATAGCTTGCCTCCGGAAACCCTATGAACCTGGAGAGAGGATGAAAGACCCCCAAGCGTTGAGGACTCTCCTTCTTAGGGTCGCTATGAGTCGTCTGCGACTCGACGACACTTAACAACAACAACAACAAATGGGAAAAGCCATTATGAGGTTTTAATTAATTAAGTAGCTCTGGTAGTACAGTTCTTAGGGAATTGCACTGCTATCCTGAAGGTCCTCCTTCTCTGTCCAAATCCACAAATGGCTTTTTGGGGGAATGATGGACAATCTCTTCCTGTACCATTTACAATCTCAGAAACCCAGTGGAGGGTCAGTTATGACCTGCTTCTGACTAAATGACAGTGAACTTTAGTAATAAATGAATAGCATGATCAAATTTTCCTTTTGCAGAAAGCATTTAATTTTCAGGAATTAAAAGTGGGGTGATCAATTAAGAAGTGACAGCAATAATCCAGAGAAGTGTGCTGAGAGCTAAGGTTCAGGTAGTAGATGAGGTGGCTGGAAAGAGTGAATACAAAGATAAGTAAACCCCCCAGTTCCTTGTGATAGATTACAGATGGTCTAGTGATGAGGAAAAATTCATCAGGGAAGAATCCTACATTTTTGGGCTTATATAGGAGATAGCCTAGTGACAAGAAGCTGCACACACGGGTCGAGGCCACCAGCTGCCCCATGGGAGAAAAATGGGTTATCTCTTGGCATGCGATTGATTAACTGCCTCTGAAAACTCGCCAGAGGGACAGCTATGGGTCAGTTCAGACTCTACGGTACAAAATATCAAAAACAACAAACTACATGAATACAGTAGTGGTGGCCTTCTCTGAGATAAAAAATATTGAGGACCAAGATGTAACTATATGTAGAAAGAGAGCTTGCTAGGAGCTTAGTCCGCCTGTGATCTTCACTAACTCCACAAGGGGGAACAGTCCCCATCAAGAACAAATAAAATAGATGACAAAACGCCCACAGGAGCAATGAGCCTAAAGAAGACCTTTCTGTGTGGCGTTCACGGCTGACAAGAACGAGCGGACGTGAATCCTCTTTGAACTCATCTTTGGGGGTGCGGGGTAGTTTTGCATTATCTAGCCCGGTAGAAGGTCTAGGAGGAGGGCCTGGTGGCACTACCGGGCAGAGTCGCAGGTCCGTTTTCCAAGAGCACTGGCCTCTGGCGTCCCGCCCCGCGCTCCTGCGTAAACACGCGGTTCCCCTGGCAACGCCTGGAGCCCACGTCAAAGGCTCTGCTAGGTCCTGGCCGGCGACTGACACCCCTGGCGGCAGCAGATGTTCCCCTCGCCCCGTGCCAGCTCAGAGCCCCAGCTCCGGCCCAGCTGCCGCTTCACTGTCAGTGCGGGATGAACAGACCCGCGGCCACCGCGGGACCGCATGGAGCAGCCGTCGCCGCCACCGGCCCGCCCGCCAGTGAACTTGGCCTTGTCCAGCAGCCCCCAGCCCGGCGCCCCCTCCACGGCCGGAGTGCCTGGCGGGACTTCATCGGCGGCGGCGGCCTTGCGCTCCTTCACGACGCTGGCG